AGAGTGTTGTTAAACGTTAAGGGAAGTTCACAGTTTTAGTATTGTTCAAGTGTCAAATTGTAATAACGTATCCAGTAAAGTTCTTGTCGTTTTTGTGAATAAATTGATTTAAAGTCCCCACAAGTGTTTCAATACGTAAAGTTCGTTCGTGTGTGTTTGTGAGTATTTCCCGATTTCGGTTCGTATATATTTTATTGTTACATTTTATATTTTTTTAATAACACTGTTCTGCTGTATTAAATTTTTATTTCCTTTAATATAATTTTTATGAATGCATATTCTTTTGGCAATTATCCCACTAGCGCGCCTCTGGCTCAGTATTTATCCGTCGATAACAATGGACAAATCCCTTAAAACAGGGTGATACCTACCTGCTCTTTATGAAACGACATAATTTTGCAATGCGGACTAGGGAAGTGACAGAATTTATTGACGGATCACCCTGTAGCGCTTTTGATTACTTAATGAGATTTTATTACTCTACACTCTTTTGAAATAGACTATAATTGCACACACACCAATTTTGGACAGCCGATTTTATACCGGTCGTCCAAATTCCAATAGTGAACCACATGTGTGAACGGGACTTGGCACACATGCCGACCAGTGATCGTCGCCGGAAAAATACCGTTGAGCAGCCGTCTACTACTACTGTATCGCCGGCAGGAAAGTAGTGGCGTACGTGACTAAATACACTCTTGCATACTCACCGGTTTTTCACCGACCTTTCCAGTCTCGACTGCTCGATGAAATTGTAGCTACTACGTATTAACTTACGCTATTTGCACACACACCGATTTTGGACGGCCAGTATAAAATCGGCCGATATTTTATTGGTAGTGGTAGCTTGCACACTCACCGGATTTTTATCGGTCAAACAATCAGTTGCTTTGTTGTCGTAATTAGCATGCACTACCAAAACGAAGTTAATGCATAGTAACTACAATTTCACCGAGCATTCGAGACTGTAATGGTTGGTAAACCGGTATGCAAGAGTGTATTGAGTCATGTACGCCACTACTTCTATGTACTGCCGGCGATACAGTGGCAGTGGACGGCTGCTCACTGGTATTTTACCGGCGACGATCACCGGTAGGCGTGTGTGCCAGGTAGGCATGTGGTTCACTATTGGAATTTGGACGACCAGTACAAAGCCGGCCGTCATAAATCGGTGTGTGTGCAACTAGCGTTAGTTTTGGTAGTGCGTGCTAATTACGTTGACCGGTAAAAATCAGCTGAGTCTACAAGCACCCGCTACCAATAAAATATCGACCGATTTTATACTAGCCGTCTAAAATCGCTATGTGTGCAATTGGCCTTTAGTCACGTACGCCACTACTTCCCGGTACTGCCGGCGATAAAGTGGCAGTGGACGGTTGCTAACCGGTATTTTACCGGCGACGATCAGCGGTCGGCGTGTGTGCCAAGTCCCGTTCCCACATGTGGTTCACTATTGGAATTTGGACGACCGCTATAAAATCGGCCGTCCAAAATCGGTGTGTGTGCAATTAGCCGTAGAAAGCAAGTTGTGTGTTGTTTACTGAAGTGTGTCAACTGTGTGAATATGGATGATGATAAAAAAAGGTTACAAGTATTGCATCGTTCCTAAATAGCGCGCTGTCACAACGAAAGTTGTTGACATTCGAAGAAAAGTTCATT